AAATGTACTGTCTGGTACGTTCAGCAATTTAAAAATTTAAACAATGTTAGTATATACAAGCAAGTGTGTGCGAATAATGTGTACGTTCTCAAGTTGTTCCGTAAGTCCTCAATAACAAACCAGACATCGACTTAGACTAAACAGTGACTGACTCAACGACCCTCATATATATAACTTCTTTACCACAAGCCAATCAGAACAGGATTGCTTAACATAAACGAACGATTCGCCGATAATAGTAAACAACAGCAGCCACAAAATAACGACCTTAACAGCAGATCCTGCATGAAAGGGCATAAAATTCCCTTAATACTGAATCTAACTTCAGTATAACCTAAATCAAGGGATAGACGACAGTGTGTAGATGCCAAACAATATTAGGTCAGAAGCTATTGCTAGAGAGCCCGAGTTGACTTTAGTCAGTAACGACACAACCTCAGCAAAGAACGTCGAAAAAAATCACTGGTTTGAACTATTCTTTGTATACCACGAGAAAAGCATGTTTCGACCGACTCACCACCGAAATCATTACTCTACTAAAAGAGTCTAAAATAACAAAATAAAACATCAGAAGACAAGAGAGAAGAAGAAAAATGTTGGTGCGAAGCAAGGACCAGCAGAGAGAGAGCGGATAAAGGAGGACGCCTCCACGCTCAATGCGATCAGGTGATTCTCAGGTGGTCTAGGTGCCGAGCTCGGCGCCAGTGCAGGCCTGACACTAACAAGCGATGTATTTAACAAGGTAGTTTGCCATTGCGACAGCCACTCGCAATCTCTCGAATATGAGCAGAGGAAGTGTAAATGTTACATCCTACCTAATACAAACTAAGTCAAATATAATATAAAGCAAGATAATTTTCAATTTTAGCTAATATTGGAAATAACAGCCAATATACAGTTTATATGAAAATAATATATATCAAATATAAAATAATATACATTGACCCCATTCAGGGGGCGCAAATATGCTTCAGTACTGGCAGATCATGGCACCACAAGGCTGCAGTACTGCAGATCAGCGGCACACCAACAAGGCTGCAGTACCAGCAGATCACAGGTCACCACAAGGCTGCAGTACCGCAGATCACGAGTACAAGTTCAGTGCCACAGTTTCAGCGGTAGTACAAGGCTAGAGTGCTGCAGTTCAGCAGTAGTACAAGGCTACAGTGTCCACAGTTTCAGCAGTAGTAACAAGGCTACAGAGCCGCAGTTCAGCGGTAGTACCAGGCACAGTGCCGCAGTTCAGCGGTAGTACAAGGCTACAGTGCCGCAGATTAGTGGTAACCTCAAGCCTACAGTACCGCAGATCAGCTGCACCACAAGGCTAAGACAGTGCTGCAGATCAGCGGCACCTCAAGGCCACAGTAACTCAGACAGCGCAACCACAAGGCGACAGTACCGCAGATCAGCGCACCACAAGGCTACAGTACCTCAGAGAATTCAACGGCAACACAAGGCAACAGTACCGCAGATCATGGCACCTCCAAGGCTACAGTACCTCAGATCAGCGGCACCACATCAAGGCTCAAGTACCGCAGATCAACAGCAGCATTGCTAAACACATTATGGAGGTCACAACACAGCGCCTCCAGCGAAGGAAAGATAAAAAGTTCGATGCAAGAAAACAGGATGGGGGGGGGAAGAGAAAAAAAAAATATCCAATTCTGTGGATCTAAGAGCCCACCAGTCACATGCCGTCTTGGCAACCACCATTGATGGGATGTGCGCAAAGCTAATGAAGGCTGGCTGAAAAGTGGTATTTGCGCCCTAAGATAACTGCGACACAGGTAGTTAGACAGTCTTCAGAATACAGAGAAATGTTGTCAGTCTTCCACTGGTAAACTGTTATTTAGTTAATTTCCTTCCGTTTAAAAGAGCCTATCAACTGCACGAGGGTTGCCTACCGTGATACAGTTTTTATAACCTGCCATGAACTGTAAATCACTGTAGGCAACAAGAGGCATTTCACCACCCTCCAGGAAGATGACGTTCATTTACTATCACATACCTACAAGTCCTCCCAAGAAGCTCATTGCTAGTAACCCTTCCTTAAATCACTTGATAAAACAACTCTCTAGAAGAAAATTTCTCACCTAGCTGTAGTAATAAGTTACCACAAGTTATATACACTGATGGATCAAACAGAGTCTTCTGGCAGGGCTGGCATCTGCTCTTGTTGGCCACCTCCCTAGATTAAGACCATAATAAACTTGTTGAACTAGGCATAAGAATTTATAACAACTGGGTGTCTCACACTGCAAACTGATTGTTTGCAATCCAATGGTGCTAAAGCTAACCTATGACGCCGAGCTTGAACTCTGTTGGTGGAATATTTAATTTCCGCATCGATAGTGCCTAATAAGTGTTAAATGTGTTGATTGGGTCAAAATGTAATTTTGAATTTTGAATGGAACCACTGGGTTCCCCAGCGCAATTGCGCAGACGTGCGGGGGTATGGTCGAACTGGGGCCGAGAGGCAGGAGTGTTTTGAATGTAGTGGAGAGCTGGGAAAGCTGGAACCAGGAAATTGGCGTTCACCGCTGCCTAAGGATTAATATAGGCCTCATTTCATAATAGGAAGCGTCGTAACTGTTCTGGTGGAGAGTGAAGGGAACGTGATTACGGGACCACCGTAATAGAGTGGTAAAATGAGTGAATAAGGGTAGGAACCAGGGTTGACTGGCGCGTCACCATGGACTGTGTCCCGGGGAAAATTACCCTTGGTTTAATCCATCACTCTCATCGGTCTCAGATCTTAAATGGAAGTGAATTCTCTAATGTGTATAATAATGAGACATTAAATCCGTCTTGTGAATTGTAATGTAATTAAAGCTAATAATGCTAAGTTAAGAGAATGCGTGAAGTGAAACAATCGCCTTGCTCCCGAGTGAATAAGTAGACCTCGTTTGTTCCCGTGACGAGGAAAGTGATGTTCGAGAGTAAAATTGAGTCACGACTTCTAAACCGGGACAAACCAACGGATACCTCGGTCCTGCTGGAACTATGAGAACCGTGTCGGTTGTAAATCAGGACATCGAAATGAATGGTGAATGGAGGAAATAAGGAGTTATCAATCCACGCCACAGTTTAAGTAACCCATCAATTTAAGCCGAACTGATACGCCAGTTAAGATGTTTGTAATTGGATAGGTTATGGGTGAACCCAGCTACACAGTGACCCCCAGAGAAACTGTAGTGGTGGGAATTATGTACAATGTTTTTTTCCTTTGATGGGTATATCCATGTGTAACCTGCCCCCGCCCCCCCCCCCTACATTCCAGGTTAAAACTAATCATAATCTATTCAGTCCACAATTAATAGTAGCGTCGTACTTGAGGGTGCTACCTCAATTAATATACTGGGTCTCGGATAGATATGGATAAGTTGTGGAGGTCGGGGGCTACCTCAAGTGACCAGAGGTGTTAAGTTTTCTCACATGTCTACACGGGTGACTATGGTAAACAATATCGTTGTTGTCTCCCAAGGAGATTACACGTATGCATGTAGATATGGTCGAGGTACGTACAAGTAATCACTCCTATAAAATTTTCCATATCTATCATCATATGATTCTATGTCATCACTGAAGCTCTTGACTCAATAATGACTCCAACAACATGCTCATTGGAGAAGGCCAGGTATAGTACCTCAAAAATCAGGGACAAAGCAATAAATGTACAGTTGCTATGGATCCCATCAACAACATTGGATTACTCCTTCATGATAAAAGTTTGATATGTTAGCCAAGAAGATACCTCAGAAGAGAATGTAGAATATAACTTCGGAGTATAACTGTTCTAGCATTAGTAGAAATAATATTAGGAAGAAGTATATAATGAAAATGATTGTTAAGGAATGCCAGTTAGAAGCCTGAGTAGATCTATAACCCACTATGGATAACATTAACGTAATAATATGTTTATTGGAGCAACTTGCACATGGTGCACAGACTGACTGAAGTTGTAGTGGCCATGCTTAGGCTTGGATACAAGAACTTCTGCAGTTTGGTAAAGACACACAGATGATGATCAAACTAAATTAAATTATGTGATCAGGCATATGTCACTCTCTTGGAACACTATGTGCTAATTGTCCCACTTATTGAGAATACAAACAGACAGTATAATAACCTATGTAGACATGTCAAGATATCATATTAATGAAAATAAGATACCAATATACTAAGGTGCAAATTTCCTAATTTTCTTGTAACAGATAAGTGAACTAATAGATTATGTAAATCCATATGTATTCGTGTTAACCCCCTTGGGGCCTAGTTCCTAGGCCTTTTGTGTATCCATAGCTCTTGCCGCTAACCGTCCGACTGATGGATGTGGTGTGCACAATAACTAAGCCACTTCGGTGGCAAAATCTAAATCTAGTCGTGCACGGTATGGGTAACTGCTTCACGCACCAGACAAAATACTCCTAATGCCGAAAATAGGGATAATGTAAATTCACACATGTAACATACTGAGAGAAAAGACCTCTCAGGGAAAATATATCATGCGAGTCTTCCGCTAAAAAGCTGGTAATAATTATATCTTGATTTTCAGATTATCACGAAATAGATTTGACTCCAAGCCAAGCACGAGTGGATGCCACACAGTCATCACAAAACAAAATATACTAGCCAGACTTAAAAGCCCCAAACACGTCAGTGAAAACACGTAAGGTTAAAGTGTAAACTTGTCAGTGTAACGTGTAAACACGTCATGTAAACACAAGCAACTGTGAACCCGTGCACTAAGCAACTACAAGCAAATCAACAAAGATACAATTAAAACTATATCCCAGATGAGTCAACTCATCGTGGTGAGGAGAGTAGATGGGATGAGGTGACCACCATATCCTTGACCAGGTCACAAAAACAAATGACTGTACAAGGGAAGTAGAGAGAGTTCAGAACCTCCCAAAATTTTGGCGAAGCCGCCTGATTATTATTTTTACAATAAAGGGGGGAAAAAACCAAAACCCGGGGGATTATACCGCCCCGGGGGGGTATGGGAAGGCATTCAGGTTTAATTTGGGGGGAACTGGACACAGATCCAATTCCCCAAAACAAGAGCCCCTCACCAACATCAGGAACCCTTCCTTGGGGGGAGCACGCCATGAGGTTAGAAGACGTATCACAGTGGAGAAAAACCCCAGTTCCCCCTGGGTGAGGGTCAACTGTCCTACAACCACACCTTCGTTTAAACAATGTAACATCTAATTAACACCGGGTCACATCGGGGAAAGACCCGCTCGGGACAAACGGCGAACCACTACCAAATAAGGTTTGCTCCCTCATGTTATCCCCTTTATAAATAATATAATAGAATTATTACCTTAATTATAATAAAAAGGGTTAAAAGGACCCCAATGGGAAATAAGTCATCTGTCCTTTTTTTGGGGTTTTCCAGGTTCTCTACACTATCTGCTATGTATGATAATTTTATGTAACTGTATTTGTGTAACCTGAATAAATTTTCTTACTTAATTAACTGGGAAGGTGTGAGATACCAAAACCATGGTAATGGTGTGAGATACCAAACCCAACCCTGGGAAAGGTGTGAATACCAACACCAGGGAATGGTGTGAGATCCAACACCATGGTAATGGTGTGGAACCACCCTTTGGTAATGGGGTTTAGATACCCAAAACCATGGTAATTGGTGTGAGATACCAACACCTGGTAATAGTGTAGAACAAAACCATGGGAAAGGTGTGAGATACCAACCCATGGTAGGTGGAGATACCAAACTATGGTAAGGTGTGAGATACCAACACCATGGAATGGGGTGAGATACCAACACCATGGTAATTGTGAGATACAACACCCTGGTAATGGTGTGAGATACCAACACCATGGTAATGTGTAGATCCAACACCATGGGTAATGGTGTGAGATCCAACACCATGGTAAAGGTGTGAAATACCAACACCATGGTAATGGTGTGAGATACCAACACCAGGTAATGGGGTTTTAACAACACCATGGTAATGGAGGGGAATCCCAACCCCATGGTAATGGTGGAGGTAAGGTCGGGGCACTAATACCATAATGTTAGGGCTGTTATCCAATACATGGTAAAAAAATACAACCGAAATACAGGGACAATTATTATTTTTGACGGGGTTTTCCCCCATGCTGGCCGAAAGGGCTTCAGTAAATAATGATGATGAACTCCCCATTGCTAATTCTTAACATAGCCTTTTTCTTTAATAATAAAAAATAAAATAAAAAATAAAAATAATAATAATTAATAATAAAAAAAATAAAAAAATAATAATAAATCTCACCAAACAAAAACGCAAAATCTTTTAAATCAGGTTAAAGGAAAATAAACTGTTTTCGTTCCCGAACAAATCTTCTTAAATTTTCCTGCTTTATTTCACAACATTGAAAAGTCCTGTGGTTGATTGCAACACAAAAGGCCTAGAGTTACAATTTGCCCCTTGTTATTTTGCGCATATATATACACATTAATAAATATATATATATAGTGGGTATAGGGGGAGACACAACCACCCAGGGAATACTACCGTCCTCCCCAATGACTGTGAAAAAAAAACCCTGTAACTGTTTTGCATGATGGTAGGTTTGCTGGTTTTCTTTTTCTGTCTCATAAACACGCTAGATAACAGGGATATCTTGACCCTACTTAACTTTGGTCACACTTCACAGAAAACGCACTGCATATATAATATATATAATACTCAGGTTTTTTTCCTTAATCTAAATAGCTCTTTTTCTTTTTTTTTCTTTTTATTGCCCTGGGGAAGTGGAAAAAAACTTTCCTCCGTAAGCCATGCGGTCGTATGAGGCAAAAAAATGCCGGGGGCAAAGGGGGTAGTAAAACCCCCTTTTCCTTTACATTTTCAAAAAAGAGAAAAAGAAAAACTTTAAAAACGGGTTGTTTTTAAAAGTGCGTGGAGTAGTGCGGGTGAAAAGAAACAGATGATTGCTGATGTTTAATGAAAAAAGTTGGATTCCCGGCTCTAAGCGAACAAACTGAAGGGGGGAGGAGAGTTTTTTGTGGGGGGGGAAATAATATTTAAAATTGGGGTATCTGAGAGAGTTAGAGCAAAGGGAAGGGGGAGCTAAAGTTAAAAGATCAGTTTTTGGGAAAGGGGAAAAGAGAATATAATGTGTAAATTTGGAATTATGTGGATTAAAATAAAGGGTTTGGATGCGGGGAAGTGGGCATTAAGGTGTAGCCCTGGGGAAGAGAGGAAGCAAAAGGGAGAGGAAAATTTTTTGGGGGAGTTAAGTGAATGTATAGGAGCCTTTTAACCAAATGAGAGAGTAAATTGCGTTAGGGGACCTGAACTGCTAAAGAGTAGGAGAAACTTTTAGAGAGTGTGGTGGCTAGGTAACTTTGGGGTGCCAGTATGTAAATGATAATTGGCCAGCCCTTTGATTGAACTTGTATAGAAAGCAGGGGTTTAGTTATCAGGCTAATCACATATTTTAAGAAAAAGAGTATAAATAAGTATCATACACGATAAGATGTAGGGCGAATGACAGTAGTTTGTCTGATTATGTATTGGTAAGATAAAAGACTGTTGAGTAGACTTCAGATGTACATGTTTTTATCGAGGGGCCACAGATCATTATCAACAGATCACTTTCTAGGTGTAGTACCCTGAGAGTAAAAGGTAGATGGGATCACAAGGAGAATAGAAGCATCAGGGAAGAGCGAGGTAAGGTTATAACATCTAAAAGAGGAGGCAGTTAGGCTAAGACTATAAACGCTATTGGAGGATAGATGGGCTAATGAGAGCATAGGCAATGGGGTCGAGTGAGGAATGGGTTAGGCTTTAAAAACTGTAGTGCTTAGAGTGTGCAGGCAGAAGTCTTCGTGGTCTACAGGAAGTGGGTGCAGGAGGACACAGAGCGATTGGGGAATGATGATGTACAAGAGAGTAGTAAGGGAGAAAAAGTTAGCATATGAAGAAGTTCTTTATACAAAGTTAAAGTGATGCTAGGAGGAAAGTTATGGAGAAAAAGAGAGAGGTTAAGAGAGTGGTGAAAGCAATGAACAAAAAGAGAGCAACAGAGAGTGGGTTGAGGCTGTTTTATCTAACAAATGTTTTGAAAATAAGAAAAAGTTTTGGAGTGAGATTAACACGTTAAGGAAGCTAGAGAACAAATGGATTTGTCTCGTTTAAAAATAGCGAGAGAGAGTTTATTAAATGGAGAGTTGAGGTATTGGACAGATGGAGTGAATATTTTGAGGAATTGTTAAATGTTGATGAAGATAGGAAGCTGTGATTTCGTGTATAGCAAGGAGGAATAACTCTTCGTAGCGAGTGAGGAAGAGCAGTGGTGAGTGTGGGGAAGTCGTGAGGCAGTAGGTCAAATGAAAGGGGGTAAGGGCAGCCGGGATTGATGGGATAAAGATAGAAATGTTTAACAGCAGGGGGCGATATATTTTCGTGGTTGGTTGGCAATTATTTAATAAATGTACTGGAAGAGGGTAAGGTACCTAGGGATTGGCAGAGAGCATGCATGTTTCCTTTGTATAAAGGCAAAGGGGATAAAAGAGAGTGGTCAAAAATTAATAGGGGGATAAGTCGTTGAGTGTACCCGGGTAACGTGTATGGTAGAGTTTTAAATGAAAGAATAGAGTAGGGCAGACGGAGAATAGGATAGCAGACTAACAAGGAGCTTAGGAAGGTAGGGGGGTGTGCTGGACCAGGTGTTTACAGTGAAACATATAAGCTGAACAGTATTTAGAATAAGGCTCAAGAGGTCTTTGGGCAGTTATGGATGGGGAAAAGGCGTATGACAGGGAGGGGATAGGGGGCAATGTGGCAGAATGTTGCAAGTGTATGGTGTAAGGAGGTAGGTTATGAAAGCGTGAAGATTTTTAACGAGGATAGTGGAAAGGCGTCAAGTTAAGTATGTAGAAAAGAAGGAAATTTTTTCCCAGTAAAAGGTAGCTAGACAATGGATGTTGATGTCATCGTGGTTGTTTCATAATTTCATAGATGGGGTTGTAAGAGAAGTAACATGCGAGGGTCTTGCGCGAGAGGCTGGATTAAAAGATATAGAATCACACAAAGGGTGGGAAGTTTTGTCACAGCTGCTCTTTGCTGATGACACTCGGCTTCTTGGGAAGTCTAAGAGAACTGCTGAGATTGGTGGATGATTTGTAGGGTGGTGCAAAAGAACAAATTAAAGTGAATACAGCGAAAGAGTAAGGGTTATCGAGGCAACAAAAAATTAGGTGATGAAGATTGAATATCAGATTGGAGGGAGACAGAGGATGGAGGAGGTGAACGTATTCAGATATTTGGGAGTGGACGTGTCAGCGGATGGGTCTATGAAAGATGAGGTGAATCATAGAATTGATGAGGGAAAAAGAGTGAGTGGCGGTGCAACTTTAGGCAGTCGTGAGACAGAGAACTTGCCTTGGAGGCAAAGAGGGGAACTGTATGAGAGTAACTTTTACCAACGCTCTTAATTATGGGTGTGAAGCATTGGGTGATGAATGTTGCTGCGAGGAGTAGGCTGGAGGCACGATGTACAGGTCTGAGGGCAATCGAGTGGTCTGAATATCTTGCGAGTATTCGTAGTTTGGAAGTTAGGAGGAGGTGCGGGATTACCAAAATTGTTTGTCCAGAGAGGGATGACACGAGGGGTTCGGACAGGAGAGTGAATGGAGCGAACCACCAGAAT